GGCCCTGACACCTGCTGTATATTTGGAGTTTGCGTGTCTCTCTCTTTCCCCATGGTCGTGTGGAGTATTCTCCGGGTCCTCCGGTTTTTTCCCTCCACATTTAGAATCAACGTCACGCGTTTAGAGTATTTGGCTGCTGTTCATTTCCACATGATGATAAGCCACTTCGTTGACCTGTCATTTGTGGCCAAGTCGCTTCTGAAAAAGAGTTATATATCATCATGGGACCTCATTTGCCAGTACCAAAATATGAGAATAGGGTTTCCCCTTTTATCTGGCAACAAAACAGGTGTTACGTTGTTAAAACACCACACTGAAAGAGTTATATAGCTCAGGGGGCCTTACCAAATTAAATAAATACATTTAGGAATTCAAAAATTAAGGCTGAGTTGACCTCGATGAGGTAGTCCGGCACGGGTTTCGATAATCGTCACCGGTGTTGACCGTGAATCAAACTCGCTAGGTTCGTAGGCGCAGCTCGCTAACCGCTTCACCACCGCTGTCCACAGCCGCGTAACCACCAACAACAACAGCCGCCACGGCGCTTGTCCAGGCTAGGTGCACCTCAGGTCCGTCACAATGAAATGTGGAAGGCTCGCTGCTGGTAAGACGTCACGGGATAAACTCAGGTGTCGTAACTAAGATGACTTGTAGATAGATGCACTACCTGTACCAACCTCGCTGGGTTTTATCCCCACCAGCGCTCCGCTCGTTGACGTGAGCATCGCTCCTCCGCCCTCCGTTGTTGCTGGAAGACGACTGCCCAGCAGCGTCCTTCACGAGCCTCCTCCACCGAGGCCGATCTAGACACCGCTGGAACCGGTAATTATCGAGAAGTCCACTCAACTCCACACCCCCCCACACTGCATCAGCTTTATCACTTCTCCAGCCCGTGCCGCGCCCGTTTAGCCCCCCTCTATCCGGCCCCCACAGAAGCTGCTGGGGCATGCGGTGCCTGGGCATGCGAGACGACATGACCCGGCCAAACGCAGATTTCTCGCCTGTACAACAACCACCACCACCCACTCTTGGCACATGCTCCACACGTAACGTAATGTGTGTGTTGAACTTCTTTCGAAACTTACGCATATCTGTCCACCCATACGGTTTACGCCGTATTCTTGTACAGAGAAATTGAGTTTTCAGGTCCATACGACGTACAGCCGCTTCAACACGGGCAACAACATTTGTGTTTGTCTATGTGTTTGTGTTTCTCACCTTGTGATGGGACTTTGTACGATGAACGTTGTGATTTATAAGGGGCACGGGGTTAGCCAATAAGTCTGAATGGGTCTGAGATAAGGTAGGGCACTGATGAATAATGAATAGCTTGACAGGTTTGCCTGCATAGCCAAGTATACTAGTCGGAGTTGCGGGGGAAGGACAACAAACTAAACACACGCACGCCTCACTCTATAGTGACGGGTCGCAGTGTTGACACGAATCCGCACAACAGTGAATTCTTTACGAGGGCTTCGCTGGCAATTGCGACACTGAGAGGCAGTGCCATGACGGGGGGGAGGGGGGGAATTCCCCCCCCCCTTCTCTGCCCCCCGAGGATGGGAGAGGGGGGCACCCCGCGTGTCACGTGACGGTTCATCTCGCAGAGGTTTCGAGGGATAGAGAAGTCCCGCAGCGGCCGCCCTGGACAATGACTGCAACACTCGTGATGGGCGGAAGGGTGGCGCTGCAGCGGTGACACTCGCGGCGTCGCAGCCAATAAGGTGACTGCGTTCGGGAGTGTTGAGAGTGTGAATGGTGTGCGAGAGTGTGTGAGTGAAAGGTGTGTGAGTGTGTGTGGTGTGTGAATGGTGTGTGAGTGAGTGAGTGAAAGGTGTGTGAGTGTGTGTGGTGTGTGAATGGTGTGTGAGTGAGTGAATGGTGTGTAAATGATGTATGAGTGTGCGAATGGTGTGTGGAAGTTAGTGTGAATGGCGACTCTGTGTGAGAATGAATGGTGTGTGTGATAGTGAGTGTGTGAATGGTGTGGTGTTTGAGTGAGTGTGTGTGCAAATGGTGTGAGTCTGTGAGTCTGCGTGCGGAGTGTGGGGGGGGGGGAGCGGTGGTGTAGCGGTTAGCGCACTGCACGACAAACGCGGCCACCTGAGTTCGATTCCCGCTCACGGCTAACACCAGTGACGATTATCTGAACCGGTCCTTGGGCCTCCCCTAGGTCGACTCAGCCTCAAATGAGTACCTGGTGCAGTGTGTAAAATCATCGCCACTGGGGAGACAAAGGCGGTCGGGCGTGGTGCTAGCAATCCCCCCTCCCCCCCCCTCGTGTGCCACAGTGCCGGCTTTCATAAGTGCTACTCGCTAACAGCACTTGCCCTAACAGTCTGTTAAGGCTATACGGTGGGTCTTTTGTCTTTGTGTCTTTGTTGTGTACGTGATTTTAGTCTAAACTAGTGCGAGTCTTTCAGTGCGAGTCTGAGCCTGTGCGTCTGTAACCTCGGCTTAGAGCGGAATTTGGTATCTGTACTTCGGTCGAGGCGACCCTTGTTTAAGGATGCCCGTCGGCGTTTGCGGCTGATACACGTTGGATGCCCTGACCCATCCTTCTTACTCAACAGGGGGTATTGTTTAAATGACGTAGATCTGGGCCGCGTATGTTGAACTTCTATCGCACCATAGGAAGCTAACCGTGCTTTACCAAGTAAGGCCCCACTAAGCTCTGTGGCTCTTTTTCAGAAGCGACCCAGCCACATATGATTGCTCAACCAGGTGGCTTATCATCCTGTGGACATTCACAGCAGCAGCGTGGAGGGGAAAAATACCGGAGAAAATCCACGCGACCACGGGGAGAGAGATACACCGCAAACTCCAAATATACAGCAGGCTTCAGGGTCGGGATGGAACCCACTACCTCTTGTATTCATAATAAACGTTTTTGTGTTAGATAGCGTTATTTATAAATGTGTCGTAACCCTCCACCACCCGACACGGCCAATCAGTAAATAAGTATCACGTTGACAAAAGACAAATAGTTCACTACTTTAGCTCACCGGTGTTGAAGAGTGAATCCACAACATTTACAATTTTTGAGTACGACGTTTCGCTGGTAATTACATCCAGCATCATCGGGCAATTTTCCAGAATAGTGAAGCCTTCACTTGGTCGCGAAAGCCTTCTTGTTATGCCTCTTGAATATCAGGAGAGGTAGTTAACATCTCGCCACTAAAAGGCAGCTCTAAAGAACTCTTGACAGTCGAGATAGGTTCCCGTCAGACCGGGGAGTCGAGCCGGTTCTTATTTTTTTTGTCATCAGCCGAGCGAGAAGGAAGTTTGCGCAGATTTTTAACATTTTATGTATTTGATGGTGTGGCAGGTTCAGTCGAGTAAGCCCGTGGAGAAGGAACGGATGAGAGAATTAACTCCACGGATGTTTTCATTCTTTTACGGAATTTTTTTTTAAACCCCGACACGTCGCCACGCGTACCAAAAATGTTTTTTGTTTTGTTATTTTCGTGCCCGACGACGGTAGTACCTACAACGCCAAGGTCACGCAGCGTCCTTCAAAACATGAGCCAGGGTGGGACATTCCACATTCCCATGGCAGTTTGCGTCCATGTGTCAAACGTCCTTGGCTTCCACGCGAAGTGGTTGCTTTTTTATCGATCCCCCACGGGACACGTGGTGATGGTGATGAGTGAGGTGGAGGTTGCCTCAGCCTCAAATGAGTAGCTTGGTGCAGTGTGTAGTAAACATCGACATTAGGGATACAAAGGCGGCCAGAAGCGGTGCTGGCCACCCACTCCTCTCCTGTGTCCTGCCGGCATTCAGAGGCGCTACTCGCTAACAGCACTTGCCCCGAAAGTCTGTTACAGGCTACACGAGGGAAGCTTTGGAGCTCCGCGATGCCGCGACGGGTGTGATGGTAGCAGCCCACGCGACTCGATCTCCAGCAGCAGCAGGAGAAAGCGATATGCACCACAGTTAGTCTGCGATGGGGGCAGGTCGCGTGCCGGTGAGGTAAAATAATTGTTTTCATTTGACCAGGTAAGGGGCCCCACTGAGCTGTGTAGCTATTTTTTTAGAAGTGACCTATCACAAATGATAACCTGACGAAGTGGCTCGTCATCAACGTGGGAATGTATAGCAGCCAAATATTCTAAGCGCAAGGATGTTGATTCTAAATTTGGAGGGAAACACCGGAAGACCCGGAGAAAAATGCACACGAACACGGGGACATGCAAGCTCCAAATGCACAGGCGTCATGGTCGAGATCCATCCTACGGCCTCCTGTATACAAGGCGAGGGAGTTAACATCTCACCACCGCGGCACCCCTATTTGAAACGGTACTGTGCCTATCGCTAGGATAACTTGGCCTTAACAGCACTACCTGGTGGGGTGTGCTGTGTAAACATCAGCACTGGGAAGACAAATGTGGCCGGGCGTGCGTGGGGTTGTGTAGTCTTGGCGTTGTGAATGATTGACTCTTGTAGAATTCCTCGTGATCACGAGTTACTATTTAACTCGCCACGGAACACTATAGACTAAACTATGTTTATTTTACCAGGTACGGCCCCACTGAGCAATGTAGCTCTATTTCCGAAGCGACCTGGCCATCAGAAATTATAGCTCAACGGAGTGGCTTATCATCATCGATGTGGAAATGTATAGCAGCCAAATAATCTATGGAGGGGAAAAACCGGAGGACCTGGAGAAAAATCCACGCGACCACGGGGCGAGAGGCACGCAAACTCCAAATATACAGCAGGTGTTCAGTCGGAATAGAACCCACGATTCTCCTGCATACCGGGGGACGGAGTTTAACATCTCGCCACCGTGGCAACCCCGTGACTTCTCAACATTGAGCGAGCGAATCCCAAACCTCCAGGGGTGATTGCTTGTTTGAGGAGTTGTGGACAAGGTGGGCGAGTTTAAGCCACGGTTATCCTCGAATCAAAAGGGAGCCGGGCTAAGGGACACAAAACGAGGCTCAACAAATTTTACCAGCAGACGCGGTGGCGGAGAGGATTGAATGCGGCGCGATTCGTTCTCGATTTAAAAAAAGAAATTCACTTTTATTGTTTCGCTAAAGCAGTTAAAACAAGATCTAAACGAGTGCCGCGGCACTAAGGCGATTCCACACAACTCACAGAGATTCCACCCAGTTCAGCCAGACAAACCCCACGGTGGGCAAGCACTGCTAGCAAGCACCCATTAACCAGAACCGTTAACCAGAACCGTTAACCAGAACCAGTGCTGGCGTTTACACACTGCATCAAGTACAGTCTATTCTCATACAGCGCCTTGTTTTAATAAATAATGCGATGGATGTATCAGGGAACGAATTTTTTTTAAAGGCAGAAGCGAATGGTGATATATAATGCGATCCAGCGAACAAAACTACGTCGCAGCGCGAGTAGGGATAAGCCGTCGTTTGGCTGCCTCGGCGTAGCATCATCATCGAACAAGGCATTGGGATGCTGCTGGATGCTTCCGAGATGCTACCCACGGCGTCTGAGTCTTTGTTGGGCCTGCGTTACGCATCTTGCGTGACGCATCTCGCGTTACCGTGGGCAGTGATTTTACCACCTATATTACTTATTACAACGGGATTTTTCCACAACGCGGTGTTCTTCGGGAAAGCAACCGCGACGACTATGACTCCCGCGTTATAGGAGAACAGACTGTGCTCATTTAAGGCTGCGTTCAACCTTGGCGATGCGGACCCAGGAGTTAAACAGAGATCCCCTGCTGGGACCAGGTGCGCAGCGTTGCCCCTTGCGACCGCATCACAGCGTCGAGCGAGAACGCGTCGATGGCAGGGTCAGGATTTGTTCGTTTCGCGGCGGAGGCCAGTGCGCCGGTGTCTGCTTGGCGATGGGGCGCGAGGGGTACGGCTCCGAGGGGGGTCTGCGTGGACGGTGCGGTCACACCAAGACGGTCACCAACGGATTGTCGTTGCGGCGCTTACGTGTGGCGCTTCTGCGGCCGTCTGGAACGCTCTTCCTTGCGATACTAGGACGCCGCACTTTTAAATCATTTAGATTGACGAACGGGGACGCACGACATTCATAACCTCTCGAACATCAATTAAAAAAGCGTGATATTTACCCAGGAGAGCCCCACTGAGCCTTAGACTCTTGTTATCGAGAGGGTCCTGCTACAAGCTTACAATGCTGTAGTGTTTTCATAAAGGGGGTGGGGGTTGGAGTGCGCAGTGCAATGAAAAGCCCCACAAAAAAACAAAGATCCCCCGTATAGCCTTAACAGACTGTTGGGGCAAGTGCTGTTGCAGAGAGTAGCACCTATGACAGCCGCAACGGCAAACAAGGAGGTGGGTTGCAAGCACCACGCCCGGCCGCCTTTGTCTCCCCAGTGGTGATGTTTTTACACACCACTCCAGGTACTCATTTGAGGCCGAGTCGACCTAGGGGAGGCCCAAGGACCGGTGCAGATAATCGACACCGGTGTTGGTGGCCGTGAGCGGGAATCGAACCCGGGTCGCCGGGTTCGTAGCGCAGCGCAAGCGCTAGCAGATACGCCACCGCTTCCCGCACACACCAACACACGCAGAGGGGAGAGTGCACGGAACCCTGACAGACGACAACTCTCAAGGAAGCTCGGTGCTCTCCGTGCCGCGAGCGCCGTGAGGCATGGGGGTCTTCTTCTGCATCTTGTGCCACAAGGCGTCTTTCTATGTGTACGTGATGCGAATCTGCATTTGTGTGTGCGTATATCCTGTCTAGCAAAACAAAGGCGGCCGGGTGTGGTGCTGGCCACCCACCCCTGTGAGCCGTGCCGGCCGTCATAGGTGCTACTCGCCAACAGCACTTGCCCCAACAGTCTGTTAAGGCATAGCTAACCGTACTAATTGGAGGTGCGAATGTGCTTTGTTTTCTGTTTCCTGCTACGCGTGTATCCTGTGTATGACAAAGCCGTGTTTACTGTGTCTGTGTGTACTATGTGTGTACAGTCCCGTTCTCCTGTAACTAGCCTTGTGTTTTCCTAACGCGAATTGGATTAGAACCACTGGCGGAGCCAGTGGGGGGGGGGGGGGGGGGTGGGGCACGTGCCCCCCCAATGATCTGATCGAAATCCCTAATTTCGATCGGATCATTGGGTTTTATTAGTAATAAATCGGCATTTTGCGACCCCCACTGCCACTGTGTAGCATATTATTACGTGCCAGGGACTCCATGAGATGATAGGACAATAGTCTGAGTCCAAAATTGGTAATAAAAGCGGTTATAAGCGACTCACAGAATTGTGCACAGTTGCGTATACAGCACACGACTTTCCTGAAGGCATTCACCTTCAGCGAGCGCGATGCCGACCACACATGGTTCGAATTCGACCCTCGATCGATGGCTGCGCTATCGTCGCACATGTGTCGAATAAAAAGCAAGGGACAAGTCCTTACTTACAACTCCTCTATCATTTCATTGCTGGAGGGCTTGCCCCCCCCGACCTGAAAATCCTGGCTCTGCCATTGATTAGAACGCGATGGATGTATTATAGGGAATAGGATGCGAATCAGATATTACGCGATTGAGCGAACAGAACTACGTCGCAGCGCGAGTAGGAATAAGCGGTTGTAACGGCTGCCTCGGCATAGCATTACAACAGAATATCCTTCGGATGCTGCGTGTCTGTACGCGTCCTCTACGTGTCTACGTGCACCGTGTGTGTGTCTCCGTGCATGCTGCGTGCACCGTGTGTGTCTCAGTGCATGCTGCGTGTCCGTGCATGCTGCATGTCTGTACGCGTACCTAACGTGTCTACGTGCACCGTGTGTGTCTCCGTGCATGCTGCGTGTCTGTACGCGTAGTCTACGTGTCTACGTGCACCGTGTGTGTGTCTCCGTGCATGCTGCGTGTCTGTATGCGTACCCTATGTGTTGATGTGCACCGTGTGTGGGTCTCTGTCCATGCTGCGTGTCTGCACGCGTACCCAACGCGTCTACGTGCACCGTGTGTGTGTGTGTGCGTGCGTCTCTCTAGGCCCCACGAGAGACGAGTCCGTGCTGTGCCAGTGCGCGGTACAGCTCGTGCAGGTAGGTGAACACGCACTTCCAGTCGGGCTCTCCCATGTCCACCAGGTCCTCCACGTCCAGCAGGGGGCAGCAGCCCACACGCCGCCTACAACGCGCACACACAACGCAGAGCGCGCACATTCGTATTTCTATTTCTGTGTTGAATATTCGGGGTTTTTTTGGGTTAGATCACGTGAATATCAATGTGTCGTTAAACCCACCACCACCCGACACGGCCAAGTAAGGTTTGTCACTTAAACCAAAACGTGCCAATTAGTTACTAGTTCAGCACACCGGTGTGTTGGAGAGTAAACCCACACCATGTTTTGCTTTGCATTATAGGGAAAAAGACAATGTACGTGTGGTTGAAGTTTTCGCACCGTACGTAGCCAACCGTGCTAATCGGAGGTGCGGTTGCGGTGAGCGGTGGTGTGGGGTGGTGGGGTGTGGTATGGGGTGGTGGGGGTTGGTGGGGTGGTGGGCCCACGCACTCGGCGGTGGAGAAGGCGAGCGTGAAGTTGTGACGGCGGTCGTGCGGCTCCAGGCGAGAGAAGTCGAACTCGTCAGGAAAGAAGTTGTGCACGAGGGCGCAGAAGGCGAGGCCGTCGCTCCAGCTGCCCGAGAGGTCACGCACGTCCACGTGCTGTACGCACACACACACACACGTCCACGCGCTACATCATGCACGTCCACGCGCTACATCATGCACGTCCACGCACGCACACACAAGCACGTCCACGCACGCACACACAAGCACGTCCACGCACGCACACACAAGCACGTCCACACGCACACACACGCACGTCTACGCACGCACACACACGCACGTCCACGCACGCACACACATGCACGTCCACGCACACACACGCATGTCCACGCAGTCCATGCACATCCACACACGTCCACACACACACACGCATGTCCACGCAGTCCACGCACGTCCACGCACGTCCACACACACACGCACAAGGCAGGATGCTGCTGGATGCTTCTAGACGCTATCCACGCCGCCTCGGTCTTTGTTCAGCCTGCGTTACACATCAAACATGTTATTGCGGATTGTGCTTTACCCCCTATATTGTATATTATTTATTGCAACACGATTTTTACGTAACGCAGTGTTCTTCAGGAACGCAACGACTGTCACCACGTTACAGGAGAACAGACTGTGTTTGGTTCGATTCCCGACTCTGCGGGTGCCTTTCTGCGTGGAGTTTGCCTTCTGTTTTCCTCCCCGTGTTCTGCGTCGGCTTCCCTCCCATAGCCAAAAGCCACCACACAATGCAAACCGGTCCTGGGGCAAAATATCCCAGTGCTGATGAATAAATATCTGCACATTGCAAAGTTGGGATGAAACGCAGCAGCAAACATCGCCCCCTTACGCGCAGCCCCTATTCTTTCGGTGCTAAATTATTGTAATCGCAACTAAACAAAAAAAACATATTTTGAGACCACTGAGCTACGTAGATCTTTTTCACAAGCGACCTGGACACATTTTATCCCACCGATTGTCTATTTGTGGTGTACACGGTTGTACCGCTGGCGGTGGAAATTTGAGAAACATCATCCAATGTTCGACCACTTGCTGCTCAAGGAATAAATTGAAGCCATGATTCTTAAGTCCGTTCTGCAAACCACTACCGCATAAACCACTACCAGGCAAACCACTACCGGACAAAACATCATAACACAAACCACCACAGCACAAATCAAGACAGCTAAATCCACTCCAGTACAAAGTACTACAGCACAAAGATCCCCCATATAGCCTTCACCAGACTGTTGGTGCAAGTGCTGCTAGCGGTCACCTATAAAGGTCGGCACGGCACACGAGGGGGTGGGTGGCCAACACTACGACCCGGCTGCCTTTGTCTCCCCAGTGGCGATGTTTACACACCGCACCAGGTACTCATTTGAGGCTGAGTCACCCTAGGGGAGGCCCAGGACCGATTCAGATAATCGTCACTGGTGTTGGCCACGAGCGGGAATCTAACTTGGGTTGCCGGGTTCATAGTGAAGCGCTACACTACCGCTCCCCAATTCGTGACACATGGTGTGACAAAGTTAGCCTTTACAAACTGTTGGGTCAAGTGTTGTTAGTGAGCACCTATGACGATGGTGTGACACACACGCACTCGGTGTGACACACGCGCAAGCGGTGTGACAGACACACACACACACGTGGTGTGACACTCACACATGCGGTGTGACATGCACACACACGCGGTATGACACACGCACATGCGATGTCACGTACCTCGTAGCCGCGCGTCTTGGAGCGGCACCATTCCAGCAGCCGCTGCTTCGCCTTCACCACGCCACCAACGCCGGCGGCCCCCCCGCCGCCCCCCGGAGTCCGTGGAGCCGGAGTTCCCTGCCTGGGGTCGCGCACAAGCAGCACATGGACCCCTACGGTTCAGCCTCACACACACCGGCGGGGTGGGGGGTGCTCACAATGGGCCCTGCCAGACACTCTAAGTCGGCTCCGGTGAGCTCCTGCATGTAGCCACCTGGCTCAGAGGCACAGCTGGGGATACCTGGACCTCACCTGATACGCAGGAGGTCGCGAGTTCGAATCCGACACCGACGCCTGCTGTATATTTGGAGTTTGCGGCGTCTCTCTTCCCGTGGTCGCGTGGATTTTTTCTCCACGCGACCACGGGGAGCTATGTAGCTCTTTTTCAGAAGCGAACGTCTCCCAGCCACCGTGGCGACCCTGCGTCAACCGAGTGTGACGACCGCGGCGCCACCGCCACCCTCCGCGTTGGCTCCCTTAACCTACGGGGGGTGGGGGAGACGGGGGTGGGGGAGGGGGGGCGCCGCTCTCACCACGCGCTCCGCCCTCCCAGCTTCTCCACCAGCGCCAACCGCGCCTGGCCTCCCGCGGGGGTCACGACCTTTGGGGTCGCGAGCCTCGGGGTCGCGAGCCTCGGGGTCGCGAGGTCACGCGACGGCCCAGCTCGACGGGGGGTCTCATCCTCGCGGTCAAATACACTGTGGGGGGGGGGGGGGGCAGAGGGGGGGGGCAGAGGGGGGGGGGGGGGGCGAGGTGAAGGTGAGTATGCCCATGGTAGCTCGAGAGTCAAATAAATAAGAACTGAGGCAATGGTGCTCTCATCTCTCATAGGGGCGCCATGGTGGCGAGATATATGCATGTGTTTGAACTTCTTTTTCACCGTATGTAGCCAACCGTGTTAATCGGAGATGTTAACTGCCTCGTCTGGTATACAGGAGGTCGGGGGTTCGGACCCGACCCTGACGATGCCTATATATTTGGAGTTTGCATGTTTCTCTCTCCTCGTGGTCGCGTGGACTCTTCTCCTGGTCCTCTGGTTTTATTCCCCTCCACATTTAGAATCGACATCATGTGTTTAGAGAGTATTTGACTGCTATAAAATTAAACACGATAAGCAACTTCGTTAAGCTTTCATTTGTGGCCAGGTCAGTGGGCCTTATTTGCTAAAATAAAAAATTGTTTCGTTTTCCTGACTTGCCGACACAGTGGTACTAATTTTATAGACCCGCCACCCCACCTTAGCCACGCATCGCCATCATCATCATCACCTGCCGATCTTCTTCGCACCGGACCGTTCACCCAGAGTCGATGGTTTGGTAGTGGAGATGATGGAGGAGGCCGCATTGGAGGTCGCGGTGGAGGTCGCAGTAGAGGTCGCGGTAGAATTCGCGTTGGAGGCGATGACGCCTGAAACAATCGTAGACAGGTCCAGTGAGAAGACTGACGGCCAACCCCCCCCCCCCACCGAAACGAAGGTGATGCTACGGGCTACGCTACGGCACCTGACTGGCGACGACACAATCACACCGGCGTCACACGCAAATGCAGTCGATCTTCGGCCCATCGCAGGGGGCTTTTCCCATCGTGGAGTTGACCATTCCTGACAATTTCATTGAGGCACAGTTTTATGTAGAGCCACATAAAACCAAATAAAAAGGTAGTGTCATATTACGAACCGTGAATCAAACCCTATTTTTTACACGCTTTCTATTAACTCACTCTGTTGTTGTCGTCGTATCCTCAAATCTTGTAACTCAATTTTAATCCACTTCCCAATGTGGTATCGACTGCAAACCTGGTATACTTATGTCATACTGATGACAATACTATATTCTAGCATTACAAATAAAAAAGGTATATTTTTAAACATTTTTTTTTATGTTATGTTTCGGCTTGGGTCTAATTGTTTACGCTCAACTGACGTTGGCTGCAAATCACCACGGCCCCTTACGTTATGGCAAGCTTTGCGGCCACTTCCTGGAGTCGTGGAGTTCTGCCATTACGAGTACGGTACATTTCATTAAAGCGTGTTTAAAAAAAAGTATTTTTAAATATTACTTATTCCCATTTGTCTTTGAGTTTGCGGATGCCACAAAGAGATGTGGACGAGACAGGGGCTGGTGTGGACGAGACATGGGCTGGCGTAGAAGAGACACGGGCATTATCCCCACAAAAACAGGGCATCTCAATGTGGATTTTATGTCATCAATTACTGCACCCCCTCAACTCCCCATGAGTGATGGAGTGCAGCTGTGGAGAGAGTGGAACGCCGTGGGGAAGCTACCTGCCTGTCGCTGCATACGAAGCGCCGGGTTCTTCTCGGCCACGGTCATGCTATCCCTTCTTTATGCGTGCAAAACGTGGACCCCTTTTAAAAAGAACATCTGCGCCGGTTCAAGCTGGCCTGCCTACATTCCATCCTGGCTTTAACACTAGGCTGGATTGTGTGAGCTCACAGATCCTTGAAAAATCTGGGCACAGTCCTCTGGCAGGCAAGGCTGAATTAGCTGGGTCATGCAGCCTGCATGCCCAGCAGCTTCTGTTTGGCCTGACAGAGGGGGCTAAACGGGCATAGCACGGCCTAGAGAAGAGATTGTCTGACATGGTACAGGAGGATATGGAGCTGAGTGGACTTGCTGAAGCCTGGTATCAGCGGTGTCAAGATCAGCCTCTATGGGGGAAGCTCGTGAAGGACGCTACCGGTCAGTTGGGAGGCAGTCGCCCTCCAACAACAACGGAGGGCAGGAGGAGTGACGCTCACAACAACGAGCAGAGCTCCGGAGGGCTAAAACGCAGCGAGTTGGCAAAGTGGGGATACCAGGTGGCGCATGTCAGCTATCACAGGCAGTTAACCCACAACACCTGAGTCTGTCCCATGACCTCCTGTCAGCGAGCCTTCGATACTTCACATGGTCTGAAATTGCACCTCGCCTGGCACAAGGGCAGTGAAGACATCATCGCCACCAAGTGGTAAATGGCTGGTGTTGTGTTTGTGTGGCTGTTTGCATCCGAGTGACGGTGATTGGGTAAAAGTGCGAGTGACCGTAACTGATTGTGTGTCCGCGTGAATGTGAGTGACCGTGTGAGTGATTGTGCGTCTTTGTGACTGCGTGTGTATAAGTTTCTGTTTGTGTGAGTGATTGAGTAACTGCGATTGTGCGCGTGGTCGAGTGGCTGTGCATTGAAGATGCACCTGCTACAGGCGTGCGTAGGGGCTGTGCAGAGGAGACTTGGGGTGTGGAGAAGACACGGGCGGGTGTGGAGGAGACACGGGCGGGTGTGGAGGAGACACGGGCGGGTGTGGAGGAGACACGGGCGGGTGTGGAGGAGACACGGGCGGGTGTGGAGAAGACACGTGCTGGTGCACAGGAGACACGGGCGGGTGTGCAGGAGACACGGGCGGGTGTGGAGAAGACACGTGCTGGTGCACAGGAGACACGGGCGGGTGTGCAGGAGACACGTGCTGGTGCACAGGAGACACGGGCGGGTGTGCAGGAGACACGTGCTGGTGCACAGGAGACACGGGCGGGTGTGCAGGAGACACGGGCGGGTGTGGAGGACACACGGGCAATTGTAGAGGAGACACGGGCGGGTGTGGAGGAGACACCGGCAATTGTAGAGGAGACGCTGGGTGCGGAGGAGACGCTGGGTGTAGAGGAGACACGGGCGGGTGTGGAGGAGACACGTGCTGGTGTAGAGGAGACACGGGCGGGTGTGGAGGAGACACCGGCAATTGTAGAGGAGACGCTGGGTGTAGAGGAGACGCTGGGTGTAGAGGAGACGCTGGGTGTGGACGAGACACGGTCTGGTGTGGAGGAGACACCGGCAATTGTAGAGGAGACGCTGGGTGCCGAGGAGATGCTGGGTGTGGAGTTGACGCTGGGTGTGGAGAAGGGGAGCAGCCCCGTGTGGGTGCTGTGCAAGGAGCTCCCAGATGCATGGCCAATCAACGTCCCCCGTGTCTCAGCTGCACCACATACACACACACGCGTACGCAGTGCAAATGTAAAGGGAGTAAAGGTGCAGCCCTGCAATTACTTGTTCACGTTGCTGTCAGGAAAGCTAAGTAATATAGAGGCCCCATGAAGGGTAAAAGGCCTAAGTCTCTCACGCTGGCCAGATAATGGAAATGCCCAGACTTTACTCCACCATACGCGGACATGCCGATTCGACCGCGGTGAACCCACTAACACTGCTGGGTGGACAGAGGCGGTGGGGGAGGGGGGGGATTTAATACATTTTTCCAATTGTTATCAACTACCGTGCTGGAAGATCAAATCCAACCAGCGACCTCTGGACTGTAACCCGAGCGTGCCAACCATTAACACCAGTCGCGTCTAACATGGTGTACGTATCCATTAGAGGTTTGTTGGGTTAGATCGCGTAAATATAAATGTGTCGTTAAACCCGCCACCACCCGGCACAGCCAATTAGCAAGGTTCGTGTCAGATGGTACGGCTTTTCCGATTGGTGGAGATGTTCAAAGCATTGGGGGGAGGTGCCATTTTGCGTCCGGGTGGGAAACGTCTTTGTTACGCTGCAAGTGCAACGCAGAAGCCACTGTGTGTCCATTCTTCCACAGTGGAGCAGCATTTGAAACCGTCCACTGTGGCGAGGAGATGTTAACTATCTCGCCTGATATATAGGAGGTCGTGGGTTCAATCCCAACCCTAATGCCTGTTGTATATTTGGAGTTTGCATGTTCTCCCTGTGGTCACATGGACTTTTCTCCGGGTCCTCCGTTTTTTTCCTCGATATTTCCAACCAACGTCACGCGTTTTAGAGTATTTGGCTGCTATAAATTTCCACACGATGAGCCACTTCGTTGAGCTATCATTTGTGGCCAGGTCACTTGTGACAAAAGCGCTATACAGCTGCTCAGTGGGCCTTACCTGGTCAAAAAAAGAATAGTTTAGTTTAAACAATCGGTTCGACTCCCTGCCCAGAGCCACAGCTCAAACCCCGCAGGATCTCAGAAGTGCTGGCTCGGTGACTCATGAGGAGCCAGGACCTCCTGCCTCCTCACTGACTCACGGGTAGCCAGGGCCTCCTGCTTCCTCCTGAGTGCTCTCCGCGCCGCTCGGATCAGAAGCCTCTGCTCGCACTCCTGAGTCTGCTCCAGCTGTGAGAGAGGGGGTGGGGGGGGGGGGGGCGACAACACGGCAACTATAAAAATTCGCGACGTGGCCTTATAGCGGGAAGCGTATGCACACTCCGTTTGTCTTGGCTGTGATCGAGTTTGCATATCGATTCCTTCACCCATGTTGAGCACCCAGTTTACCAGACAATGACTCTTTTTGTCTAATCCACACAGTGTTCAACTTCCACCACACTTTGTGTTTAGTGTAGTTGTCCTTTGCTTGCACCTCCGATTAGCAAGGTTGGTACGTATGGTGGTATGAAATAAGTTCAACACGCATACATACACTGCCGGTCACAACCACACACTCACTCATACACAAATCCACTCACTCACCCATACCCTCAACCACTCACCCACCAACCCACCCACACATTTACCCACCCACCCACACCCTCAACTACTCACTCCGATTCACTCATACAAACACTCGCCCACCCACTCGCTCACACATACCCACCGATACACCCACTCACACATTTACTCACTCCCTCACTCGCACTCAACCCACCCATTCACTCCCCGACTCAAAGATGTAAGTCACCTCACTTCTCTTTCCTGGCAGTTGTTCCACGATGGAACTCCCTCCGAGCATCGTCTCTTTCCTCCCACACCGAGCTCTTTAACGAATATAGCCTTGCTCAAATCTTGAAACAAACTACAGGCGACCCCCGTACCTATGTCCTAATTGGTTCCTGGACGGTCGCAAGTTGAGCCATCATAAGTTTCCCATAGGTGTAATGTTATACATTGGGGTTCTGTTTCTGGAAACCCATCACATACCGTAAAAAAAACCGAAATTAACAAAAATAAATGAAAATAACTCTAGCAAACATTTATTGTAACAACTTTTATAAACATTTATATTCAGTCAAACTTATATTTCCTCTTCTCAGATGTAGCGAAAGGCGAAAAAAAAGCTACATTTTAATAAAATTTACAAAAAAGTGAGGAGCGTTGTGAAAGACGCTGCTGCGTTCGCTCTAGGCACAGCTGCAGCCTGACGGCTCCACTGTGCATACCCATACGGAAGAAGAGCAAAGCAGCGCCAATCTACTCGGCATGGGTAGCAGTCGTTAGGCGGTCGCAGATACGAGATTTCGTCGTTACTGTGGGGGTCTTAATTACGATAAGGTCGAAAATGCAAGTGGGTTGCAAGTAGAGCCATCATAAGTCGGCGGTCACCTGTATTATCGATTGCAACTATAATTGTGCTGTTTGTTGCTGGCCGCATGGACTGTTAGGCCTGTGCTTTGCTACTGTGATAAAATAACTTGGACAACACGCGTGCATAATATATAAACGAAACTATTAAAACTAAACTATTTTTATTTCACCAGGTAAGGCTGAGCTATATATAGCTCGTTTTCAGAAGCGACCTGGCTATCACAAATGATAGCTCAACGAAGCGACTCATCGTCACGGGGGAATTTATAACAGCAGCCAAATGCTCTAAACGCGTGATGTTGATTCTAAATGTGGAGGGAAATACTGGAGGATCCGGAGAAAAATCCATGCTATCACGGGCAGAACACGCAAAGTCCAAATATACAGGTGAACTCGGGTCACGGGGTTCGAAGCGCAGCGCCCTAACCACTTTGCTAACGCTCCCCCATACACACACACGTGCATATCCTGTGGAATCTACACCACAAATATGGCACAGAGGGCAGCGGTTTGCGCCTCTTCAAAATCCACACAACCACAGGGAGAGAGAGAGACACACCAACTCAAAATATACAGCAGGCGTCAGGATTGAACCCACGACCTCCTGTATACCAGGCGAGGTAGCTAACATCTCCCTGCCACCGTGGCACCACCGTACATATTCGTGGGAAGCCAACACTCACCATGGCTGTGAGCGCGTCCTCATCCTCCACCTGGCTCAGTTGAGCCAGCGAGGCTCCTCCCGACTGCTGCTCCTCCGTCTCCGCTCCCCTGGCTCCCGGGGCCCCGCTCCGAGCTGGCGTCGTGTCGCTGCGGAGACCGCGATCCCCATCCCCGAACCCTCCCCACCTGCTCCCTCCCTTGCTGCCCGCTCGGTCCGGCCCGGACCCCACGCTCCCCTCCTCGCGCGACCGGAGGAGACGATGATGATCGGCGGACGAGGAGCATCCACTCCCCCCATCCTCCTCCTCCGGCTCCTGCGAGCTTGTGGAGACGGTGGATTCCTCCTCCTGCTGCTGCGGAGCTGCCGAGGGTTCCTCCTCTTCCGCTCTCCATGCCGCACGTTCCTGCGCCCCGCGAAACGCCGCGCGTCTCCCGGTCGCGCTCGCCGCCGTGCGCTCCTTCCACGCACGCGCAAACGTGCGCTCCTCCCCTTTGTTAGTCGCGTGTTCCCACTCCCCCTCTGTGCCGGAGGCCATGGGTTCCTCCACCTTCTGCGAGGCCGGGCCTTCCCCCACGTTCTGCGAGGCTGCGGGTTCCTCCACCTTCTGCGAGGCCGCGGGTTTCTCCACTCTCTGCGAGGACGTGCGTTCCTCCTCCTCCGCATGCTCCTGCGCCCCGCGGAAGGCCGCGCGCTGCTCCCGCGCGCTCGTGCGTTCCCTCACCGCACGCGTGAACGTGCGCTTCCCACCGCTCTTGGTGGGCGAGGCCTCCGCGGCGGCGCTGTGTTCCTGCCACACGCCCCAGGCGGCCGTGCGCTCCTCCTCCGCCCCGTTTGCGAGGGGGGCGGCCGTGGCGGCGCTGCGTTGCCGCCCCGCGCTCGTAGACGGCAGCTCCCGGCCCGCTCTCTCGGCCCACCGCTCCTCCCTCCCGACGAGCGAGGAGGCTGTGCACTCCTTGGGCGGGCCCGGCGCGGCGTCTCCCATCGCGCCGTGGGCTTTGCCGACGTCGCGACGCGGTGGGGAGGGAGATCCCTGCCGCTGCTGCCGCTGCTCCTGTTGCTGCTCCTGTTGCTGCTCCTGTTGCTGCTCCTGTTGCTGCTCCTGTTGCTGCTCCTGTTGCTGCTGCCGCTGCTGCTCCTGTTCCTGCTGTTGCCGCCGGGACGCGCGCTGAACCACGGGCAACACCGGGGAGCCGGTGCTCGGCCAGAGATTCACGCTTAGGGTCTGACACGGAGCCCGTAGGGCGGCGGGCGCGGCGTCGGTGGTGTCACAGAACTGGCGCGCGCGCTCACGTACGGACAGCAGCAGCGGGTGCGGGGTGGAGCCTGCACGACGACACGCGGCGAAAAGGGGGTGAGGAGGAGGAGGCGGCAGTAGACATGGCTCGTGGTCATAGGACAGCAACACCCAGGGGGTTTTATGGAAAAATAAATCGCCCGGACAGGGTCTGCGAAGACGATAGCTGCCCTGTGACAGCCGTCGGAGTGGCACTGCTATGGCAATGGTGGCCGATGATGCGAGCGATTCAGATTAAGACACTGGGGGTTTTTGGAAGTTCATGTACACGTTGAATCTTGACGTTGAAAAAAGTTACATGCGCTACAGCGGCTCACAGTATTGGACGGAACTGCTTCATAGGACAGCGGAGGTTGTGAATACGTCTGTAAATTAAAAAAATCGGCGGAGGATCTCTTTTCACCGGATTGCAATTATATCTGTGACATAGTAACAATAATAAACGAAAATTATAAACGCTCGCATATTTCGTGAATCAAACTCAATGTTTGATCGAGAACTCGGAGGTGCGGAGCCAGAGCTCAGAGCCTCTCTTAAGGCAGCTTGAACATGCGAGAACTTGAACATGCTGAATGGGTGCAAACCTGAATATGTGAGACCACGGGGACAAAAAAATGCAGCAGGCGTCAGGGTCGGGATCAATCCCATGACCTCCTGTATACCAGGCGAGGTAGTTAACATCTAGCCACCATGGTGCTTTGCACCACCACACGCCAACTGCCCATTGCAGATGGAACTCGGCTGTCCCCATTTGTACGGCGGCTGCTGCTGCTGGGTGGACAGAGGCGGCGAAGAGAGGAAGGGATTTGAGAAACTTGTGCCACTGATCCAATCGCCGTGCCGGGAGACAGAGGCGCGCGCGTGCTTCTGTGCGCCCTGCGAGCGAGCACGCGTACGTGGCCGCTGTCGCGACAGCGCGGGGAGAGCTGGCGACGCTGCGTGAGACCGTGGCATCTCGGGGGAGACGGCAGGAAGGGTGTGGTGGGGGTGGCGGTGGGTGGGGGGGGGGAAGAGTGGAAGTGCGGCTTCGGTGGCTCCACACGATCGGCGGAGAGGAGGAAGGAGGACCGGCGCCACCAGGAACAAGACAAACAAACAGGACGCGCTTTCGGCGCTGCAAACGATCGCTCTGGGAGTGCCGTGTGCCGGCTATAGTTAATGCTGCGCAGGGGTTAGCGGCAGGGCAGAGGATCTGTACGTCGATTAGCGGGAGAGATCAAACGTCGTTGGCAGTAGAACCTCTGGCCTTGCGGTCGAATTATAATCTGCAAGGATCTTAGCCACACTAACCGGTGAACTGGTCTCAAGCCTCTCCTAGGTTAACTCAGCCTTCAATGAGTACCCAGTGCAGTGTGTAAACCTTAGCACTGAGGAGACAGAGGCGGCCGCGTGTGGCGTTTGCTGGCCACACCACCCCCTTGTTCCCCATGACGGCCTTCAGATGCTCGCGAACAGCACCTGCCCCATTAGTATGTTCAAGGCTGTAAGAGGCGTTTTGTCTTTGTCCAACAAGGTGATATGTTGTGTTCTGTGCACGTGCTGTGTCTCCCTGCTGTACTGGCTGTGCTGTGCATGCCGTGCGTGTGCCGTGCGCATGCTGTACCCATGCTGTGCGTGTGCTGTCTCCGTGCAGTGTGTGTGTGCTGTGTGTGTGCTGTGCGTGTGCTGTGCGTGTGCTGTGCGTGTGCTGTGCGTGTGCTGTGCGTGTGCTGTGCGTGTGCTGTGCGTGTGCGTGTGCTGTGCGTGTGCTGTCCGTGCGCTGTGTCCGTGCTGTGTCCGTGCTGTGTCCGTGCTGTGTCCGTGCTGTGTCCGTGCTGTGTCTCCGCGCCGTACCAGCAGTGTTCTGTGCATGTGCTGCGTGCGTGTGCTGTGCGTGTGCCGTGCCCGTGCCGTGTCTTCGTGCCGTACCGGCTGTGCTGCGTCGCTGCCCCCGTGCCGCCCGTGCCGGTGTTGCAGAGCTTCCATCTGAGGAAGAGGCGGCGCCGCGTCCCCGCTGGCTCACGGAGCCAGGGGAGGGGGCACAACGGGAAGGGAGGGAAGGGAATCCGTGGGCGGTGTTACAGGGGCAGAGCACAACAACAACAATAGGGGCGGCGGTGGATAGATGTTAACTACCTCGCCAGGTATGCGAGCGGTCGTGGGTTCGATCCCTACCCCGACGCCTGTATATGTGGAGTTTGCGTGTTCTCCCCGTGGTCGTATGGATTTTTCTCTGGGTCCTCCGGTTTTTCCCTCCACATTCAAAAGCATGCGTTTAGAGTATTTGGTTTGCGATACATTAAAGACATGATACGCCACTTCGTTGAGCTATCGTTTGTGGCCAGGTCGCTTCTGAAAAAGAGCTATTTAGCTCAGTGGCGCCTTACCTGGTAAAATTTAAATAATTTAGTTTAGCTTAGAGTGAGAGCTAACACTGTGTCCGTCCAGTGCTCGCCAAGCTGCATTGGCTCCCGGTTGCTGAACAAATCCATGATAACTTCGTGCTCATTATACACAAAGTGCTTGCCGAAAATGAACCTCACAGCAGCGGCTTTTGGCTAGCCGTCGACCAAAGACAGTCACTGCATCGCGTGCTTTCAGATGCCCTTTTGTGGCCGCCTGGAACGCTTTTCCTTCCGATATATTAGGAAGCCAATGGAGCTATGCACTTTTAAATCATCATGTAGATTGTAAACTCATTTCTTAAGAATAGATTTTTGTGTTTAGTTTGTTGTCCTTCCCCTGCACACTCCGATTAGTGCGGTCGGCTATGTACGGTGCAAAAGAAGTTGAGCATACGTACATACAGACTCTGAGTGAGTGAGTGCGATTGTGAGGGTGTGTGGGGAGCGGCGGTGCAGCGGTTAGCGTGCTGCACTACGAACATGGCCACCCGAGTTCGATTCCTGCTCACGGCCAACACCAGTGGCGATTATCTGAACTGGTCATGGGCCTCTGCTAGGTCGACTTAGCCTCAAATGAGTACCGAGTGCAATGTGTAAACGTCTCCACTGGGGAGACAAAGGCGGTTGGGCGTGGTGCTGGCCACCGACCCGTTTGTGTGATGTCCCGGCCTTCATAGATGCTGCTCGCTAGCAGCACTTGCCCCAACAGTCTGTTTAGGCCAGGGGTCGGCAACCTACGGCTCCGGAGCCGCATGCGGCTCTTTACGGGCTGCTTCTTGACGATATGTACGTATGTACAGTATGTACTCAGATGCATTGCGGCTCTTGAAATACTGAATTTTGTACCGAATTGGAAAGAAATGGCTCTTCTTGTTATTTTGGTTGCCGACCCCTGGTTTAGGCTATACTGGGGATCTCTGTCTCTGTAGTAGGAGTGAGTGGAGTTTGTATGCTCTTCCCCTGTTCTGTATTGGTTTCCTCCGGATGCTCCACTTTCCTCCCAAAGCTAAAAGAAAAAGACCACGCAACGTATGCATGTGTAATGACAGGGTGCCACCTGTTGGCCTGAAGGGGTAACCGCGGTTATGGGCATGCTACGTCATGTCTAATTATGAGGGGGGCATATTTGGGGTAAAGGTGAAAAACAGAGTCAGTCGGGAAGCTCTGAGAACCTGTTCGAAGGTTCTGAAATTACTGAATTTGGATTACACAGAACAGCAGCAACATCTCCCCATTACTGTGAAAGAACTTGGCAGGGCTCTCCTGTAAATTACTCTTGAGGCTCAGTGAGGTTTCCCTGGGTAAACGAGCTGGATAATAATTATTATTCAGGGCGATTATAATCACCCTGGGTGTGTCCGACTGTGTCAGATCTGGGAATTCTCTTTTATTTTTTTTTGAGCTATGGAGCTCTTATACTGGTAGGAACCTCCTGGTTACACCAGCCCACAGGGGATTATTGTGTCCGTCGTGCAGGGAGGGGCTGGGTGGGGAGGGACTGGGTGGGGAGGGTGGGGCTGGGGTGGGGAGGGGCTGGGTGGGGAGGGTGGGGCGTGGGAGGGGTGGGACTGGGTGGGGAGGGGCTGGTCACCCCGTGGTGCCCTTCTAAAAACTCAACGTTTAACCTACTCACGCCGGCTTGTGTCCGCCCTCACAGTTGGGCATATTTGCGGAATACACCACGCCGCCGTTGACCCTGGCCATTGACCGAGCAACTCAACGTTCCTACCAGCTCCCTCCGCAGGAATGTGTTTCAGAAGTGACCCTGGCCAACAACAAAGTGGCTCATCATCAGGTGGAAATTTATAGGAGCAGCCAAATACTCTAAACGCGTGATGTTGATTCTAAATGTTGAGAGAAAAACCGGCGGACTCAGAGAAAAATCCACTCGCCCACGGGGGGAACATGCAAACTCCAAATACACAGCAGGCTTCAGGATCGGGATCGAACCAACGACCTCTCGCATACCAGGCGAGGGAGATGACATCGCCACTGCGGAGCCTGCCTGCTCAGCGGGAAGCTGAGTGAGTCGATGTGAGCGAGTCGACCGTGTGACTGCTTCTCCATGTACTACCGCAACACAGCACACCAAAGCACACCACACTAAAATACCACACTTCGTCTCACCTGCACCACACCGCACCATGCAGCACCATACCGCAGCACACCGCGTCTCACCCATACTACATCACACCACATCACACCGCACCACACCGCGTCTCATCCGTACCACACGGCATCATACCACACCGCGTCTCACCCGTACTACATCACACCGCACAACACCGCGTCTCACCCGTACCACACCGCATCATACCACACCGCGTCTCACCTGCACCGCTGCCGCGCCATCGTCGTCTCCATTCCCCCTCGTGTCTCCGCTCTCCACCTCGGCCACACTCCCCCCCGCCTGGCCCCCACCTCTCACCCCCAACCGGGAGCGCCCCTCCCAGCCCCTCCCCCTCCAGCAGCCGCCCCCCTCCCTCCCCACCAGGCCAAGTGCTGCACCCCTCCTCGCCGCCCCACATCCTTCCTCTCCTCCGACGGCTCCTCCTCGCTCTCCTCCCTCGCTTCCATCCTCCTCCTCCTTCCTCTTGGCACCACCCATACTCAGGTCGTCGTTCCCTCTCTCGCGCTTCACTCTGCTGCTACGCCTCCGCCCCACGTCACCACTCTCCCGCTTCTTATTCTTCTTCTTCTTCCACTCTCGGGCGCCGCCTCCCTCCTCTCCCATCCCGCGTCTTCCTCTCCCAGCACCTGCAGCCAACAACCCTCGCTCCTCCTCTTTTTCACTTCCTCCACCACCTCCTCCATCGCTCGCGGGCTCCTCCCGCCCTCGTTCCGGCTTCCCGCCGCCCCTGCCGGCCGCGCCTTCATCTCCCTCTCCTCCCCGCGGCCTCGCGCCGGCGTGGAGATCCGCCACTGCCTCACGGCGGTCCCTGTCCTCCGCCGGCCGCCCCCCCGCAACGCCCCGTGGCAGCTGCGGCTGCTGCCGCTCGGCCCTCTCTGGCGCCGCACAATCCCCGTGGCGTTTGGAGGTGGAGTCGCCGCGCCCCACTCGGGCCCCCGGGGTCCCGTGCACTTCTCCCTGCCCTTGGCAGGCCCCGAGGGCCTCCGCCACGCGAGCCCTGAGAGATGCGCGCGAGAAACCTGGGGGAGGGGTGCCGTGTATTGTGTGCCGCCGGTGTTACAGTCCACAACATTTTTCTTTGCCAAATTCGGAAAAATAACACCGCAAAAGTACACAATTGGGCACCTCCGATTAGCACGTATGGCTACGTACAGCGCGAAAAAAGTTCAACAAATATATACACACACACAGAAGCAATCATCGGCCTCCTACTGACAAACTTATGCACACTTGCAGGCCGGGTGCTGAGTCACCTTGTGCCATACAGCTGCCACTGGGGGATACCCTTGCAGGCCACGTCTGTGAAACACAGCAGTGTCTTCCGTCGTAATAAACGGATAGGGACAATTGTAATTGCGCGCCGTACTGACAACGCACATGTGATCCAATAGGAAAGCTCCGTGGTTACGACTCATAATTGGCTTCCTTTGGGTAAGATGGCTGTGGAGGTCTGTCAATGTTTACTTCGAACCTTAACCCTCCCAAGGCCCCACAAAGCCAACCAAATTAAGCTGCCAACATGGCCAAGGGTGCCAATCGATTTGGATTATCGGCAAAATGCCCAAAGGATTGTTGAGACGGCAACATGTTGGCAGGTTAATATTTTGATTGCTTACTCTTTGGTTCTTTCGGTAAAGTCACGTAGGTGTAAAATAAATCACGACGTTTCGGGCGCAACACAAGCGTCCATCATCAGGTGGGAAAGCATGGTCTGCTGCTGAAGCAGACTGTTTTAAAAGGTTTGAAATGGGTGTAGCCCAAGGGTCGAAGAAGTGGCCGGGGCTAGTGACGTTAATGTGAGAAATTAGCATGTACAGTGAGGGAAAAAAGTATTTGATCCCCTGCTGATTTTGTACGTTTTCCCACTGACAAAGAAATGATGAGTCTATAATTTTAATGGAAGGTTTATTTGAACAGTGAGAGACAGAATTACAACAACAAAATCCAGAAAAACGCATATCAAAAATGTTATAAATTGATTTGCATTTTTATGAGGGAAATAAGTATTAGACCCCCTCTCAATCAGAAAGATTTCTGGCTCCCAGGTGTCTTTTATACAGGTAACGAGCTAAGATTAGGAGCACACTCTTAAAGGGAGTGCTCCTAATCTCAGCTTGTTACCTGTATAAAAGACACCTGCTCACAGAAGCAATCAATCAATCAGATTCCAAACTCTCCACCATGGCCAAGACTAAAGAGCTCTCCAAGGATGTCAGGGACAAGATTGTAGACATACACGAGGCTGGAATGGGCTACAAGACCATCGCCAAGCAGCTTTGTGAGAAGGTGACAACAGTTGGTGCGATTATTCGCAAATGGAAGAAACACAAACGAACTGTCAATCTCCCTCAGCCTGGGGCTCCATGCAAGATCTCACCTCGTGGAGTTGCAATGATCATGAGAACGGTGAGGAATCAGCCCAGAACTACACGGGAGGATCTTGTCAATGATCTAAAGGCAGCTGGGACCATAGTCACCAAGAAAACAGTTGGTAACACACTACACCGTGAAGGACTGAAATCCTGCAGCACCCGCAAGGTCCCCCTGCTCAAGAAAGCACATATACATGCCCGTCTGAAGTTTGCCAATGAACATCTGAATGATTCAGAGGACAACTGGGTGAAAGTGTTGTGGTCAGATGAGACCAAAATGGAGCTCTTTGGCATCAACTCAACTCGCCGTGTTTGTAGAAGGAGGAATGCTGCCTATGACCCCAAGAACACCATCCCCACCGTCAAACATGGAGGTGGAAACATTATGCTTTGGGGGTGATTTTCTTTTAAGGGGACAGGACAACTTGACCACATCAAAGGGACGATGGACGGGGGCCATGTACCGTCAAATCTTGGGTGAGAACCTCCTTCCCTCAGCCAGAGCATTTAAAATGGGTCGTGGGTGGGTATTCCAGTATGACAATGACCCAAAACACACGGCCAAGGCGACAAAGGAGTGGCTCAAAAAGAAGCACATTAAGGTCCTGGAGTGGCCTAGCCAGTCTCCAGACCTTAATACCATAGAAAATCTGTGGAGGGAGCTGAAGGTTCGAGTTGCCAAACGTCAGCCTCGAAACCTTAATGACTTGGAGAAGATCTGCAAAGAGGAGTGGGACAAAATCCCTCCTGAGATGTGTGCAAACCTGGTGGCCAACTACAAGAAACGTCTGACATCTGTGATTGCCACCAATTACTAAGTCATGTTTTTCAGAGGGGTCAAATACTTTTTTCCCTCAATAAAATGCAAATCAATTTATAACATTTTTGACATGCGTTTTTCTGGATTGTTTTGTTGTTATTCTGTCTCTCGCTGTTCAAATAAACCTACCATTAAAATTATAGACTGATAATTTATTTGTCAGTGGGCAAACGTACAAAATCAGCAGGGGATCAAATACTTTTTTCCCTCACTGTAACTGTAAGATAGGAGGAGAGCGGCCTCCTGAACAAAGGAACGGAAGTGGCTATGTTAATGTGAGAGTTTAGCATGATGTTCGTGCAGTGGTTCTTAACCTTGTTGGAGGTACTGAACCCCACCAGTTTCATATGCGCATTCACCGAACACTTCTTAATTGGAAAAATAAAATATGATATTTTTTTCAAATTCAAAACACAGGTATGTTTTACTGGTGCACAAAATGAACCGTGCATCAACATCACTGTGTTCAAAGAACAAAACCAGTAAAACATGATTTTCACGCAAAAACAATCGATCGAACCCAGGTTAAGAACCACTGCTGTTAGTGTGAGAAATTAGCATGTAACTGGAGAAAAGGAGAGCGGCCTCCTCGACGAGGGCACAGAAGTGGCTATGTTAATGTGAGAGATTAGCATGATGTTAATGTGAGAGATTAGCATGTAACTGTAAGATAGGAGGAGAGCGGCCTCCTCGACGAGGGCACGGAAGTGGCTATGTTAATGTGAGAAATGAGCATCATGTTAATGTGAGAGAGATCTAAGAGAGAGGCATAGAGAGAGAGACACAGAGTCGGAAATGAGCAATCATTGGAAGAACGTTATTAACCAGGTAAAGTCTTAACTGACTGTGATGTTTCCATCCTACCAGCCTATGTCAGCTGTTATTTCCGACTCTCTTAACTAGCTCACCTGGTATACAGGCCATATTTGGAGTTTGTATGTTTTCCCCATGGTCACGTGGATTTTTCTCCGGTTGTTCCATTTTCCCCACCACATTCAGAAACAATATCACGCGTTCAGAGCAATTTGGCTGCAATAAATTTCCACGTGACGATGATGAGCCACTTCGTTGGGCTGTCATTTGTGATGGGCAGATCACTTCTGAAAAAGTGCTAAATAGCCCAGTGGCCCTTACCTGGTAAAACATTTTAAAAGTTTAATTTACTTAGTTTTAGTTTAGATCTTAGGGTCACGGTATTTTAATCAGGGTAGTTTACGTAACATATTAAATATTAGTAAAATATTACGTCCGAAACAAAAGGTATAAAACATTGCTATTATTATTTCCACATCAAGCTGCGTTTGCATCACAGCCACCGCAGAACCACCATGGAAGGACCGCTACAGCCCACCGGTGGTACCAGGTGACCACACCTTGAGGACCACCGCTCGAGATTATCGCTGTGGTTATGGATTCCAATGAGACGTGAGGTTCCGTGCACCAGACCTTGAGGACCACCGCTCTATATTATCGCTGTGGTTATGGATTCCGATGGGACGTGAGGTTCCGTGCACCACACCTTGAGGACCACCGCTCTAGATTATCTCTGTGATCACGGATTCCGATGGGACGTGAGGGTCCGTGCACCACATCTTGAGAACCACTGCTCTATATTATCGATGTGGTTATGGATTCCGATCGGACGTGAGGGTCCGTGCACCATACCTGGAGAACCCCTGCACGAGATTATCGTTGTGGTTACGAATTGATGGGTTGTGGTGGTCTGTGCACCACACCTTCAGAACCACCGCACTAGGTTATTATTGAAGTACGGATTCCAATGAGATGTGGTGGTCCAAGTGACCACACCTTGAGAACCACCACTTGAGATTATCATTGTGGTTACAGATTCCGATGGGACGTTGTGTGAGGTGGTGGAGGTAGGTGCACCTGGCGCGGGTGTCTCGTCATGGCACTGCTTGCGGATGGCAGCGCGGATGAGCCGCCGCTCCTCATAGGAGCTTGCAGACAGCAGCTGCCAGGGAGGGGAGGGGGGGCACACGGGCGCGCGGGCGTCAGTCAGGTCGGACAATCTCTTTGCATGTCAGAACCGCTACTACGGGGCCTGCACCAGCGTTTCCTCTGGCCTCGCCCTGCCCAGGTATAATTCACCACGCCCCACGCTCTCAGTTGGCTAAGTAAGGTGCTAAAGAAGTTCAACATAAAAAAACATATATAGGGTGGCGGTAACTTGGGAAGGCCTTTGTCCAGGAGCGGACTAATCATGATCGATAACGACGAGCTTTATATAAGAGTGGTGTGGCGCCGCAGTGGTTAGCGCAACTGCGCTATGAACCCACGAACTAAGTTTGAATCATGAAACTCATTGACGGACTGATTGTTGCATGGCCATGGTGGCGAAATGTTAACTACCTTGCCTGGTATACAGGAGGTCGTGGGTTCAAACCCAACCCTGACACCTGCTGTATTTTTGGAGTTTGCTGTGTCTCTCCAACTGTGGTCGCGTTCATTTTTCTCCGGGCCCGACGGTTTTTCCGTCCATATTTCGAATCAACATGCGTTTGGAGTGTTTGGCTGCTATCAATTTCTACGTGATGATGAGCCACTTTCGTTGAGCTATCATTTGTGGGCAGATCGCTTCTGAAAAACAGCGACTTTAGCAGCTCAGTGGGGCTTTACCTTGCAAACTAATAGTTTGTAAATCGCTTTATAGTGAGAAGTGGCAACCGCTTGGGAAGAGAGGTCTATCGCCAGAGCGGTGGGTTGATCGCGATATCAACGATGAGACTGTAGATCGATGGCGATGATAATGCAGATGCGCGTGCTGCGAGTCGCTCTCCTGGAGTGACTCGAGTGCCATGCAACATCTGCACAGCGACGTCCGCTCCTCCTCCTCGTGCGCACCTGCCCCGCATCAATACTTAATATGGCCATTGTCGGAGCGGGCATGGGTGTGTGAAACCGGCTCGCCCCTTCCATACCACCCCTTTCTTCCCCCCCACCATGTGTGCGTGTATGTACGTATGTACGTAGAACTTCTTTCGCACCGTACGTAACACAACCGTGCTAATCGGAGGCACGGCGGGGAAAGGGGGGCGGGGGGGAAGTACAACAAACTAACGCTCACAAAAGCAGCTCTAAAAGAAATGGGTTTTCACTCTTGCTCAACACTTTAGCTTTAGCGCCCGTGTCTCGCGCACAATGGAACGCCTCCGCTTCCAACGTGGCGCCACTGACGGGTGGGGGGCCGACGACTCTCCCATCAATCGTTACTCGACACGACACGCATGCCCCGCTCCGCGAGCAGCAGCACCGCCAGCGGTGCGCTCGCAAAATGATGTGCCGCTCGGCTTGCGTCTAGCCAGGAAAGTCTCACCGGCAAGTGTCACACGTACGCGTGCACGCTGAACTTCTTTCGCACCGCGCGTAGCACAATCGCGCAAATCGGAGGCGTGGGAGGGGATGGAGGAAGTACAACAAACTAGCACACAAAAGGCAATTCTAAAGAAATTAGTTTTAAATTTAATGTAGTTGTGTATTATATAGAAGTGTAGTGTATATTGTATGCTGCGGTAGCGGCCACCCTCACAACGTCACTTGCTGTCTCGCTTGCATTTTAGCCAGGAAAGTCTCACCACCGAGTGTCGTACGTTTCCCGAATGTTGCATAGGGCGCAAGATAGAAGCAAGCGCTGCCACTATTACACCAGGGTTCTCTCATATAGGGCGTGTGACTATGTTGAACTTCTTTCGCACCGTACGAAGCACAACCGCGCTAAATCAGAGGTGCGGGGGGAAGGACAACAAGCTAAACACACAAAGCAGAGGATCAAGACTGTTCCAGGCGGGTCGTGCCAGTTACATTGTATGGGTATTTTTTTTAGCGATGGGGAGGAAACTGGGGAGGAAACTCACGCAGGACAGTGGGAGAAACGTACAAACTCCGTAAACTTAGACAGTCTCACATGCTCACACTGACACAATCACACTCTGCAGAACAGTGGGAGAACGTACAAACGCCACAAAGAAATAGCGCCCGAGTCGGTTGTTGCAGTAGGGAGCGATGTTGCTGTTGCTGTTGCTGCTGGGTCTAATCCCAAATTAAGTTATTGCAGGCAATTTTTCAGCATTGGAATGTTGTTTGGGCTAATACCAGTTGCATTTGGTTTTTTTTAGCTGTGGGAGGAGACCGGAGAACCCGGAGCAAACCCATGCAGAACAGAGAGAAAACATACAAACTCCACTCACTCACACTGCAGAAGAGGGTAAGAGACCATACAAACTCCACTCACTCACTCACACTGTAGAACAGGGGGAGAACATACATATTCCACTCACTCACTCACTCTGCAGAACAAGGGGAGAACATACAAACTCCACTCACTCACTATGCAGAAACAGGGGGAGATCATACAAACTCCACTCACTCACTGCAGAAAAGGGGGAGACCATACAAACTCCACTCACTCGTTCTGCAGAAACAGGCGGAGATCATACAAGCTCAACTCACTCACTCTGTAGACCAGGGGGAGATCATACAAACTCTGCTCACTCACTCTACAGACCAGGGGGAGATCATACAAACTTTGCTCACTCACTCTCACTATGCAGAACGGCGTGGGTAACCGGCGTGGGTGTCCGACTCCTGAGTGACCGGCTCCGGGATGACCTCGGAGCCGGGGTGAGAGTTGGTGAGCGAACTCACCAGGTTGGTGAGCTTCAGCAGATCCGTCTCGCACTCGAGCCTCTCCCCGAGCGGCAAACATCCGTCCCCTTCCTGCCCACTCATCCGCATCCTGGCCCGGCGACACAAAGACCCCCAATGTAGACAGGACAGACTGTTGGGGCAAGTGCTGTTAAGCGAGCTCAACTAAAAACTAAACAATTTTTATTTTACCAGGTAAGGCCCACTGAGCTACGTAGCTCATTTTCAGAAGCGACCTGGCGACAAATGACAGCTCAACAAAGTAGCTTATCATTATCACGTGTAAATTCAGAGACGCCAAATACTCTAAACACGTGACGTTCATTCTGAATGTAGGAGAAAAATCCACGCGACCGCGGGGAGAGAGAAACACCGCAAACTCCAAATATACAGCAGCAGGCGTCAGAGTTGGGATCGAACCCACGACCTCCTGTATACCAAGCGAGGTAGTTAACATCTTCTAGCCACTACGGCGCCCCTTGAATGCCAGAATAGCATAATAAGGGATGGTGTGGCAAGCACCATGCCCGGCCGAGTTGACCTAGGGGAGACCCAGGGGGAGAACATACAAACTCCACCTCACTCACTCTGCAGACCAGGGGGAGAACATAGAAACTCAGATATCACGCCGGCCGCTGCGCCATCACTCGTCACATATACAGATTAAGACCCCCGTATAGCCTTAATAGACTGTTGGGGCAAGTGCTGTTAGCGAGCACCTTTGAAGGGCAGCATGGCCAGCACAATGACAGGCCGCCTTTGTCTCCCTAGTGGCGATGTTTACACACTGCACCGGACACGCCTTCGAGGCTGAGTCGACCTAGGGGAGGCCCAGGACCGGTTCACACTCAGCCTTGGTGTTGGCCATGAGCAGCAATTGAACTCGTTTCACCGGGTTCGAAGCACAGTGCACTAATCGCTACACCATGCAAAACAGGGGGAGAGCACACAAACTCCACACAGAAAGGTATCCGAGTAGGGAATCTAACCCTGACCCTTCTTGCTGCGAGTCCAAAGTGTAACAACTGCACTGCAAATCTGCTGCCCAACATGTAAACGCAACAGGTGAACGAACTGAAGACCCGACTGATGAACATTGCATTAAAGAGTGAACGAGAAGATGAACAGATACATCCATCAACACAAGAACAAGTGGACGAACACGGGTCGGCAAACAGACGAACGCATGGGCCGACGAGCGCATGGACCAAACGGACAGCATGGACCAAACGGACAGACCGACGGACAAATGTGCAGATGGACGGACGAACGAACGGGCCGACGAATCGATGGACTAACAGAGGGACGGACGGAGGCAAGCTCGCCGGAGACCACGTACCTCTCCGTACGCCGCGGGTCCGTCGACTGCAGTGCCGTCGCCACACTGGCGCACAGAAAGCTCCCTCCCCTCCCCTCCTTCCCCTCCCCTGCCCCATTCACCACCATGCAGCACGCAGCAACACTGGGGGGTGGGAGTCAATGGGCAGCACAGGTGTTCTCCCAACACCCCCTCCCATCACGACTCCTTACCCCTCCTCACCACCCCCTCCCCTCACGACTCCTCACCACCCCCTCCCTGGGGATTGTGTCTACCCGTGCAGCCCCCTCCCCACTCACCACAACCCTTTGATAACACACAATCCCACACCCAGCACAGGGGGCGGGAGGAGCCTCCCTCATCCTCACCCGGGGTCGTATGTCCTTGGACTCTCACACTTGGTGGTAAGAGAGTCACACAGGACTCTCACACTCAGCCCTGGTGGTCACAGAGTCACAACATTTACAATTAGAGTACTCAAATTGTAGATGTTGCAGTGGGTTTACTCTCCAACAACGGTATGCTGAACTAGTAGCGAATTGGCACGTTTTGTTTACGTGACAACCCTAACTATACGGCTGTGTCGGGTGGTGACGAGTTTAACTAAACATTTATTTTTTCAGGCTCTAACGAACAAACCTCTTTTATGGATATTTTTTTAATTTACCAGGTAAGGCCCACTGACCTATGTAGCTCTTTTCCAGAAGCAAACTTGGCTATCACAAATTATAGCTCAACAAAGTGGCTTATCATCGTGTGGGAATGTATAGCAGCAGCCAAATACTCTAAACGTGTGACGTTGATTCTAAATGTGGAGGGAAAACCGGAGGACCTGGAGAAAAATCGCTGCGACCACGCGGAAAGAGGGAGACACGCAAACTCCAAATATACAGGAGGCGTCAGGAACAGGATCGAACCCACGGTCTCCTGTATACCAGGCGAGGTAGTTAACATTTTTCCAAAGTCGGGAATTCAATCCAAGCACCACTTGCTGTGAGGCACAAGTGTTACTACTGTGCTACCCTAGCACAGATATGTGAAACACCAACCATTCTTTATTTATTTTCCCTTTCAGGGTCAGCGTTATTGAGGAATGCGTTCGTGAGCCACTGTCAATCCAGTCTCATGGAGACAGCACGAGAGATACATTTGCAGTTAGACCCAGCTCTCCCTTAGCGAGGGAGAAAACCTGCTGGTCTCTCTGGACTCACTCTCTTGGTGGTAAACTCGGGGTGGGATGGTGGTGGTGGCGAGCCTACGGCCTACGGCTTCACGTCGAACGGCCCGCGGAACATGCGAGGCCCGACACCACATTGAAGCAACCGATAATGATCCATCACTGCACCCAACATCTCCAGCCGCACTAATCGGCCACTAAAAGGGCTGAATATATACACGGAAACACTCGATGTCGAAACGCTTGCTGTGACTCGTCAGAGTTAGTTCTAGGGTTAGTTAGGGTTTAGGGTTAGGTTAGTATAAAGGTTAGGGTTAGGTTAAGGTTCTGGCCATTATTTTTTCAAATTCATGAGAGGACTCCCATTTAGGCACACACAACTTCGCTGTTGAATACGGCTGAGAAGTGCCCCAAGTGTCATCGCACAGAAATAAATGGGGCCTGGTTGTGCAGGCTTCCACTATGCAAACGTTTCTTTAATAACTCCGAAATTCAACATCGCTGTGTTTACAATTATATCGCGCGCCAGTCTTTCAAGTAGTTCTGAGCCTAAGGTCGTGATAAATCACACACAAAGTGCTTGCCACAAATTAACCACAATACCTTGCTGATCTCTTCAAGGAGCATAAATCATCACACGAACTCCGGTCATCCTTAAAGACGGTCACCGCATCGCGTGCTTTCAGATGTGCTTCTGCGGGCGTCTGGTTCGCTCTTCCTTCTGATATTAGGAAGCCACTGGAGCTGTGCACTTTCAAATCATTTCGATTGAAAACTCATTTCTTTAGAACTGCTTTTTGTGATTAGTTTGTTGTCCTTCCTCCGTACTTCCGATTAGCAAGGTTAGTTATGTGCAGTGCTGAAGGGTGATCCGGACAACCGCAGAAGCGCACCTGAAAGCGCCGCGCGATGCCGGTGACCGTCTTTGTTCGACGGCTCGTCTAAAGCCACTGCTGCTGCGAGGAAGACCAGAGTTCACGTGATGATGGTTTATGCTCCTTGACGAGATCGGCGTCAAGGTATCGTGCTTCATTTGTGGCAAGTCCTATTTGTCCATCAGCAAGGGGCAGGAATTACCAGCCGCCACGTGACAGACACAGCTCATTCGTCCGTCCATGACGAACGCACGGGGAACTCGCGAGCCAAAAAAAAATCACCTGCTGTCGTTTTCCTTGTTTTCTGGACGAAATCTCTTGGCTTCACGATTCGGAATGTCCTCCATTTCTGCTGCACGCACACACACGGGCAATACGGGGTGTTACAAACAAACAGGGGGAGAACATACACACTCCCACTCACACATTCACTCTGCAGGGCAGGGGGAGAACATTCAAACTCCCACTCACACACTCACTCTGCAGAGCAGGGGGAGAACATACAAACTCCCACTCACACACTGACTCTGAAACTCAAAGATCCTCCATGTAGCCTTCAGCAAAGTGTCAGGGAAAATGCAACACACCCGGCCACCTTCGTCTCCCCAGTGGTAATGTTTACACACCGCACCAGTACTCATTGAAGGCTGAAAAAAAACCTAGGGGAGGCCAATGACCAGTTCAAATATTCGTCACTTGTTATTGGTCGTGAACAGGAATCGATCTTGGGTCGCCGGGTTTGTCACGCAGGGCACTAACCACTGTGCCACTGCTCCACACGCTAACCACTGCATAGACACACAAAGATCCCCCATATATCCTTTTAACAGACTGTTTGGACAAGTTATGTTAGAAACTATCTAGCAAGGTCGGCACAGAACACAATAGGTTGGGTGGCCAACACCACGTCAAGCCTCCTTTGTCTCCCCAGTGGTGACGTTTACGCACCACACCAGGTACTCATTTGATGCCGAGTCGAACTAGAGGAAGCGTAGGACCGGTTCAGATAATGAGGCACTGTGGCGGAGAGATGTCATCTCCCTCGCCTGGTATTTCAGGAGGGCGTGGGTTTGATCGCGATCCTGACACCTATATACTTGGAGTTTGCATGTTCTCTCCGTGATCACGTGGATTTTTCTCCGGGTCCTCCGCTTTTTCCCTCCACATTTAGAAACATGCGTTTAGAGTAATCGGCTACTATAGATTTCCACATAAGCCACTTCGTTAAGCTATCGTTTGTGACCAAGTCGGTTCTGAAAAAGAGCTACATAGCTCGGTGGGCCTTATCTGGTAAAATAAAACGTTAAGTTTAGTTTAGACAATCATCACTGGTGCTGGCCATGAGCGGGAATCGAACTCGGGTCACTGGACTCGTAGCGCAGACAATAGTGTTACACACACACATGAAGACAAAGATCCCCGCCCCTGCATAGATAGCTATTATACAAGCTGTTGGGGAAAGTGCTGCTAGCAACAAGCACGCCACCATCTCCCTCGGTGTGCTAGCACAGCGCACGAGAGAGGGTGATGTGGCAAGCACTGGGTCTGGCCGGCAGTGCCAGTGTTTGAGACATCGCACTGATGAGGCTGATGTGAAGGTACGGGAAGGCTTGCTGTTAGCAGGAGCTCATGAGACAGACCCAGGTGCTAATTGGTTAAATACACCTGTTTCTTCCCCCCATTATACATCCCATTGCCATGGCACTTTGGTCTGTGCCGTGACCTCCTGCCGGCGGGCGTTCGACACTCCGCGCGGCCTTAACGTGCATATAGCCTGGCACAAGTGTCGCGGTGACGTCACCGCCACTTAGTGGCGAATGTGGTTGCAATTGGAGACTCTACATATCCAGTGTATTGTGATTGCACGAGAAAAAAAATCTTCCCTGCGGAGCCTACGGCAGGCTGTTGGGAAAGTTATGTTCGCAAGCACATTAAGGCCGGCATGGCACATTACGGCAACGGTGTGGCCAGAACCACGCGTGGCTGCCTTGCTATCTCCCCCAGTGTTGAAGTGTACGCACCACACTGGGCGCTAATGCAAGGCTGGTTTGGTGTTCATAGCTCACAGTCGCACACAGGAGAAATTGTGTTTTCCGCTTGTACATTACGTATCCACATCTTCCTTTGTTTGGATCCAATTAGGCGATTCCCGTTGAAAACAACCAGAAAACATATCACATTTAGTTTCTCACCGATAGTAGCTCAAGTCCAGCACTGAAACTTCGAATTATATATATTTTTATCAAACCTACTGAAGTCACGTCAGAAGTATCTCTGTAATGTCATATTGCTGTACGGGTGAATTATATTACAATTAAACACATTGGTTAATTTAATAAACAAAGCAAAAAAATTAAGTCATGAATCTTGTCACAATCAGAATATTTATTGATACTGGAAGAATCCGATGAGCTATAAAGCTCTTCTTCACAGATGTCCAGTAGGGGGCATGGGGGTCATAACGTTACAACAACAAACGTAATACAAAAACGCAATAGGAGTGCAAAGTATAGGAAAAGTAAACAAATATCTTTACAAAATATACAAAACTAACTTTTTTTATACCTTAGCAGGTAAAGCCCCCATTCTTCAGAAGCGACCTCGCCACGAATGATAGCTCAAAAAGGGGTTTATCATCAGGTGAAAATGTATAGTAGCAGACAAATCATCTAAACGCATGATGCCGATTCTAAATGTCGAGGGAAAAACCGGAGGACCTGGAGAATAATACACGGGACCACGGGGATCAGCACAAGCACACTCCAAATATACAGCAGCAGGCGTCGGGATCGAACCCACGACCTCCGGCATACCAGGCGAGGTAGTTAACATCTCCTAGCCACCGTGATGATGATGACAGAGAGACATGAAAACTCCAAATATACAGCAGTAGGCGTCAGGGTCGGAATCTAACCCACGACCTCCGGCAAACCAGGCGAGGTAGTTAACATCTCGTAGCCACCGTGATGATGAGAGACACACCGCAAACTCCAAATATACAGCAGATGGCGTCAGGGTCGGGATCGAACCCACGACCTCCGGCATACCAGGCGAGGTAGTTAACATCTCCTAGCCACCGTGATGATGATGAGAGAGAGACACGCAAACTCCAAATATACAGCAGATGGCGTCAGGGTCGGAATCTAACCCACGACCTCCGGCAAACCAGGCGAGGTAGTTAACATCTCGTAGCCACCGTGGCGCACAAACACCGAGGCAACGAACGCACTTCCCCTTCCTGTGCACTCCGCTCCCCTACAGCCATCATTCCGATCTTCACCGCAAGCAAAACAGGAACTTGGCCCCGGGGCTCCCTCGGGAATAACCTCCCGGGACACGCGGCGGGTCTCTTAGAAGCAAAAAAACATCTCGAGACACGCGCGGGGGCAGTGACGCAGGTTTACAGTTCACAGAGGTCAGAGGCAGCACAGCAGAGATACAAGATTCAAAGCCAGGTTTCAGACTGTGATTAACTATAAACTAAAGAGATTTTTTTTTATTTAGCCAGGTAAGGCCAAACTGAGCTGTCTTTTTTCAGATGCGACCCTGACTATCACAAATGATAACTCAACGAAATGGACATTTATAGATGCCAAAACGGTACTCGAAATGCACGACGTTGATTCTAAATGTGGTGGGGGAAAACCCGGAGGACACGGAGAAAAATCGACGTGACCACGGGGATAGAGATGACACGCAAACTTCAAACATACAGCAGACGTCCTCCATACCAGACGAGGTTAGCTGTCATCTCCTAGCCAACAATCATCATAATCACAGCACAAGTGGCCGCTAGAGAGACATTTCTCTTCAGATGTCATTCCATTCGGTGGCAATGTTTATCAACTTAACCCATGAAGCATCGCGCAATTTTGTAACTGAATTAAGTTATTTCCTCTCTGCCAACCGATGGCACTGCCCAGCTTTGGAATTGCGTCCCATCGCCTTAGACCCACCAGAGGGAGCTCCAGAGAATGCCCCCTCTCTCCCTGCCGTGGCATTTGGCCTACTCTTCCACGGTACGTGCTTGTATGAAGAGGTGAGAGCAGAGCGTGAAATCTATTGTGAAATATTTCATTTAAAAGGGGGAAGTTACATAAAGAAAAGCATGAAAAAAACTAAAAAGACTAAATGATGAACGAAGCAAAGTGCCGGACTACACCGAGCATCGTCTTGTTTCCTTAGATCGTAATAAAAAAAATCACGATTTGAGCCCCCAACATACGGCGAGCTGCCCCATCGACGAAAGTCGTTTTATTAAAACAGCCGGTGCACAGAGGCGGCGTGGGCATTTAAGATCCCTTTCAAGATGCTTCGCCGGGAGATAGAATATCACGGAAGCCGAGTTTACGTGCTCTGCGTAATAAACAACAACAACCACATTGCTGTTCGAGTTGTGTTAGGTCTGTTGCTCAGCCGAACGTGCCGCTTCAGCTCAGTTGCAATGACCGCGATACGCACGGCAGAACTTGTTATTTGTGCGACAAAGGTAAGAGAGGGACATTGCAGGCTGCGTCTGTAATCACCTGGGAACGTTTCACGCGGCTCGGGACCCGTCAGGCTCCACCGAAGCCGCCGCCGGAGCCGCCAGCGCCGCCTGAACTTTTTGAAATCTCGACCCGCCCGGGCGGCGGTCACGTGACGAGTGATACGAGGAGTCGCGCGTCCCCATTGGCCGGATTCAAATCTGTCAACGTAAACACAAAACAACAACAACAACCACAGCCAACCGTCGCCCGCCTCGCGCGCACCCCCCAAGCCCCTCCCCCCCAGCCCCCCCCAAGCTCCTCCCCCCGAGCCCCCCTCAAGCCCCTCCCCCCCAGCCCCTCCACCACCAACGGTCTCCACCAGAACGCGCCCCCCCCGCCCCCAAGACCCACCCAACCCCCCCAAACCCCACCCCCGACTCCCAACCTGTCTCCACCCCCCACCGCCCCCACCCCCCGTACAGCACCCCCCCCTCCCAGCCCCCCTCCAACCCCCCACCCCCAACGGTCTTCACCGGCACGGGCACCCCCGCCCAACGCCCCCTCCCCATACAGCACACACAGCCCCGCCCCCCAAGCCCCACCCAATCTCCCCCCCAAGCCCCTCCCAACCCCCACCCCCTCAGTCTCCACACCGCACGTCCCCCGCATCACTCACCGTTGGGGGGTGCCCCTCCCCCCACACGTGACGTCACTCCCTCTTCGCTTCCCGCCTAATTCCTCTGTGGGTGACGTCAACTCGTCGAGCGGTTGCGCTGGTGGTCCCGTGACGTCACCATAGAGCTGGGACACCCCCCTCCACCCGCCACGGAACGTCACGGGCTCATGCGGCTTCTCGACAAGAGAATTATGACGTCATTTGTCTCCGCAAAGGCACAGATGTGGTGGTGATTTTGGTGATGGTGATGGTGCAATCATCCACGCCTATGCAGGAGGCTCGTGAAGGACGCTGCTACTGGGGCAGTTGGAGGCAGTCCGCACTCCAACAACAACGGAGGGCGAATGAGCGACGCTCGCATCAAAGAGCGGAGCGCCCAGCGGTTAAAACGCAGCAAGTTGGCACAGCAAAGGGAGCACAGATGATGTGCATCTGCCAGCCATCTCAGTTGGTCAACCCATGGATTCTGTCCCGTGGGGCCGTCTATAAATGACGTCACAAGATTTTGGACGATTTTGACCCCCCCCCCCCATCGTCACACGGCGTCACAAAAAGTCAGACCCCCCCCCCTCTAATATGACGTCACTAAGCTCTGCCCCCCCCCTCTAATATGACGTCACTAAGCTCTGCCCCCCCCTCTAATATGACGTCACTAAGCTCTGCCCCCCCCCCTCTAATATGACGTCACTAAGCTCTGCCCCCCCCCCCCAAAATAAAACATGCTTCAAATCTTGATTTATCGTTCTGTCCGCCTCGGGAATGGAAAAAAACGCTGCCAAGGCTGTGTCGTCCAGCTCGGTGGGAAGAATACGTAGCGCCTCCGCATCGGACCGCCCTGCGAGCTCGCAAGTGGCGGCGAACCGCCACCGGAAGGCCGCCCAATCACCCCCCACAGCTGGAAGTTCTTTGACAAATGGCAGCCGCTGCGTCGGGACTCGATACCAGCCCTTAGTCAGCTCCCCCCAATTCACAGCCCCCTCCACCGGGTCTTCCTGCCCAGCTGCCCCACTAGTGCTGTGATCGCTCCACGATGCGCGCACTGAGTGCCTGCAGCCCTTCTCCAGCCGGCCGCGGTGCGGGATCGTCATCCTTCACCGCCACTCCGGGACCCCCCGCTGGGGCCTCGACAGCCAGGGCTGCCCGAGAACTCTCCTTGCAGTCGTCCTCTTCGCTCGAGGACGTTCCATTGAAAAACATCCTCTTCGTGGATTCCCCATATATTCGAAAGGAAAAAAAGAAAATTCCTAACAACCCTACTATAGATATATATACAAAAAAATCGTTAACACTGCTGACACCAAATGTAGTGTACTAATTCACAGACACTAGTAGGAGGTACTCTCTCTTTTATTCCGGCCTTCACAGCCTTCAGGGGATAACCACCTGCCGGTCTGGACAGCCAACATGCTGCCAAACCCACAGCTTCAAGAGGATGAAAATCACAACATATTTAAAAGTTTTATTCCAACTATGTATGATCCACTGTATGGAACAATTGCCGAACAGTACCAACAACAACAACCAGCACGAGGAACATTGCTGCGAATACAGGGTCTTTTACAACACCTTAAACCATGGAGTGTACCGATCACGAAAACTTTGCTGGCCCATCCACTATATTTCAAAAGAAGGTCCGCGGTTGCCGGACCTAGTCTCGTTCCTCAATTCCCGGTCCTATGGCAGAGGACTTTTCCTAGTGCTGCTTGTGTCAACCTGTGCCACATGGAGGCGGAGGCCACTGCCATTGCTTTATTGCTGCGTCCCAGCCTATTTTTGCCTTGTCTACCTCCACCACCCGGCAAATCAGCCATACAGGTCAGGTAGTAAACCTCGGTAGGCGTCATGTAGGTACCTTGGAGCATCAGACCTCTCGCCTTCCACAAGGCTTCTTTTATAGCTCCCACAACGGCACATGCCTGGGCCCAAGCCCTTCCTGCTTTCCGCCGAAAAACTCCCCAAATAACATTTGGCAATGTGACCTTGAGCGGATAAAACCGGGCTAGCAAAGGCTGGAATAGCTCCCACACCTCCAGCGCAAAGGGGCATCGCACAAAAAGATGACTCGTGTACTCGTCCGAATTACAGCCCCTTGGGCATTTAGCGGTGCGGGCCATATGGCGGGAATGCATAAACTTCCTGCATGGCAACCTGTCCCAGGCCGCCAACCAAGATATGTCCCTTTGCGTCTTCGTTAAGGCCTCAGATGCCACGTTCTCCCATATTGGATGGTGGAGGGCACTCCGTGTGCCTGGTACCTCTGCGCAAGTTTCCCTTTTGCCAATCTCGACAAGGACACTCCGTGGGTGCCATGACTCCCTTACCAGGGTCAGCGTGTATTCTGCAATATACTTGTTTACCGCGGCACATAGCCACCCTTGCGTCCAGGTGAGGGGCTTTCCGCGAGGCAATGGAGCCATCCCTAATCTATGAAGGAGCCATGCCAGCCGAAACTGTAAAAAATTAGGCCTTTGCCTGGGACCCATCTGAAAAAATAAGCGGAGCGTCAAACAAAAAACGTAGTCAGGGTACGCACGACGTTAGGGGCTCCCCTCCCACAGTTCGCAGGGTGTTTGTGCACGGTCTCCCTCTTCACCTGGTCCATCCCGCCTCCCCAAATGAACTCGAAAAACAATATATTCAAATGATGCAACATTTTTGCGCCTGGCGGGAAGATGTGCGCCAGGTAGTTGAGCGTAGGAAGCATTTCTACCTTCAACATCAATATCCTTCCTTCCATGGTGAGGCTTCTGGTCGTCCACCTGGCCAGCCTGCCCTTCACTGCCTTTATTTTTTCCTTCTAGTTCTTTTTTGCAGATTCCTGTCGATAGGTGACCCCCAGGATCTTAATCCCTTCCTTCACTCTCAGTTGTGTGGGCCGACCTTCAAAAAGCCTAGGGTCTCCAAAAATCATCATCTCGCTTTTACCCAGATTAACCCTTGATCCTGAAGCCAAATGAAAAAGTCTTGCAAGTTCCAGTACCTCCCAAACCGAGAAGACATCCCTGTAGAACACCACAACATCATCCATATACATTGCGCTCTATGCCTGTTCTTTACACCCCGGGATGTGCACTCCTAGAATTCTCTGATTGGCTCTGACCACCTGGGCAAACGGTTCCATGCACTCGACAAATAGGACTGGCGACATGGGGCACCCCTGTCTCACGTCCGATCTAACTGGGATTTCTTCAGAAAGGACCCCGTTTATCAAAAACCTGCTAGAGAGATACTTTATAGCTTTTTCACTCTTTCACCCACCCACATAACGCTCTCCTATCCCCATGTGTGCGGACACCGAAAACAAATAATCATGCTATATGCGGTCGAAAGCCTTCTCCTGGTCTAAACTAATGAGCCCCAGTGGTCTTCCCCCATCTACCATGGTCTCTAGGACCTCCCTTAGTAAGATAAGATTGTCTGAAATATGCCTACCTGGGACCGCACATGTCTGGTCTGCATGTATTAGTTCTTCTACCACTTTCCCTAGTCGTTCTGCGATGGATTTGGCTAATATCTTACAGTCCATATTTAGCAGGGTGATTGGGCACCAGTTCCCAAGGTCGCTTCGGCCCCCTTCCCCTTATATAAGAGATATTACCCCAAACTTTGGACTCTGGTACTGGACCCTCCGCCAAAATTTCCCTGTACAGTTGTAACAAGTCATGCTTGATGGTGTCCCGGAATTTAACATAAAAATCGGCCGGTATTCCGTCATTCCCTCGTGTCTTGTACAAACGTAGACCTCTCACCGCCTCATCCAGTTCCTCCATTTGAATTTGCTTATTCATCTCATCAGGAGCACTGACCTTCTGTTTAATTTCTCCAAGAAGGAAATCCTGGACTTCTGCCTCCGATGTCTTATGTCCATACAGGTCCACCTCAACGATGCCTTCTGTCTGCGTCAGTCTGCCCAGACTAGGGCTGGCTAGCTCATGGATTATGCTTTCCGGCTTTCTACACTTTTTAAAAAAGAAGTGCGTGCGCTTTTCCCCCTCCTCTACTGTCCTAACCCGTGTCCTAAAACGAGCTGTGGCGCCCATCTTTCAAGCAACAAGGAGATTTTATCCTTTAGATGTCTTACTTCGTCCATCATTGGGAAACCCAGTTCCAGCAGCCGATACACCTTCTCTAGCTGATCATGCAGGCCCCTCAACTCATTTCTGACACTCATCCTTTTGCTGTGTGCCTGAAAAAATCCCTTGGTCCGGCTTTTGACCATTTCCCACCATTCCGCCATAGTGCTAAAGCAGCACTGTAGGCTTCTCCATTCTTCGTAGCATTTGATGAAAGCCCTTGTCACCTTCTCATCCGCTAAGACACTCACGTTCATCTTCCAGATCCCTTTCCCTAACCGTAATTCACCCGGAATTCGAAGCCTCGCGGTTTCTATGCGTGTCTGCGGGTCTCTGTGTGTGTCTGTGGGTCTCTGAGGGTGTCCGTGAATCTCAGAGCGTGTCTGTGGGTCTCTATGTTAGTCTAGGGGAGTCCTGTTGATCTGTGGTCAAACAAATAATAAAAAAAAGGTTGAATGCTTAACTCCTTTCCAGAACCCAGTCACATGATTTCAAATGTTCACGCCCACCACGGCGTTCCGGCCCATTCCCACCACTGGCTGTAACTACCAGCGGAGAC